ATTCCAGTTCGTTGACTGAAAAGCTCGCTCTCAAGTTCAGTCCTAATATTGACAACAAGGGTTCAGCGGCTTATTGCATTCGTTGACAAAAAAGGTAGCAAACCTTGTTTTGTGTGTGTGTGTGTGTGTGTGTGTTACGAGTGACTGCGAAACTGTCACGCATTTTACAGCTGTAGCTGTTGGACTGAACTCTGCCATTAACACTTCGGCTCTATAATTAGCAGCCCAGCGGGGATCCAAGAAAAGAGTTGTTCTTTGCAGCTGACAGCCCATTTGCAAGAGGAGGGTTGTGTATCCTGTTTAGGTGACAAGTGAAAATTAATCTGGCAATTCAAATAAAATAACTTGGCACCGCTTTCCCCTGGCTGGTGCTTTCCTCTGCTCAGCCGAGGCCAGCAGTGAAATTCCTGGGAGTCGGCGCACGATGCAGACAGTCCTCGGCTTACGACTACAACAGAATTTCTTTTGCCTTGCAAGGTGGCTGTTGAGTGAGTCACAACCTGATTCCGCAACCATTTTTGCCACAGTTCAGCAAACCCCTGCCCTTGTTTAATTGAACCATGCAGTCATTAAGCAAAAACATATGAAGAACGGCTACAGGAATTGGGTATGTCTAGTCTAGTGAAAAGAAGGACCAGGAATGACATGATGGCAGTCTTCCAGTATCTGAGGGGTTACCCCAAAGAAGAGGGGGTCAAGCTATTCTCCAAAGCACCTGAAGGCAGGACAAGAAGCAACAGATGGAAAGTTATCAAGGAGAGAAGCAACCGGGAACTAAGGAGTTCCTAACGGTGAGGACAATCAACTAGTGCAGTGGTTCTCAACCTGTGGGTCGGGACCCCATTTGGGGTCGAACGACCATTTCACGGGGGTCGCCAAACAACGCAGTCCGCCATTTTTTCCCCCTTTTCCTTAGCTGTGCTACTCCCTTTTATTCTATTGGCTTTTGAAAGCCAATAGAACAGACTCTCTTGAATAGAGTCTAATTCCACTGGCTTTCAAAAGCCAATAGGAATGGTCCAGGCTGTCTCTGCCCTGCTGAGCCCGCCAAAAGTCCCAGTCTGCAAACGGTGCTGCACCAGTTGAGTAGTCCTCGACTTACGGCCGGTTGAGTAGTCCTCGACTTATGACCGGTTGGGGGTCGCGGCATTAAAAAGGTTGAGAACCACTGAACTAGTGGAACGGCTTGCCTTCAGAAGTTGCGGGTGCTCCATCACTGGAGTCTTTTTAAGAAGAGATTGGAGAGCCACTTGTCTAGAACAGTGGTTCTCAACCTTTTTAATGCTGCGACCCCCCCAACCGGTCGTAAGTCGAGGACTACTCAACCGATCGTAAGTCAAGGACTACTCAACTGGTGCAGCACCGTTTGCAGAATGGGACTTTTGGCGGGCTCAGCAGGGCAGAGACAGCCTGGACAATGCCTATTGGCTTTTGAAAGCCAATAGAATTAGACTCTATTCAAGAGAGTCTATTCTATTGGCTTTCAAAAGCCAATAGAATAAAAGGGAGTAGCACAGCTAAGGAAAAGGGGGGAAAAAATGGCGGACTGCGTTGTTTGACGACCCCCGTGAAATGGTCGTTCGACCCCAAACGGGGTCCCGACCCACAGGTTGAGAACCACTGGATTAGAAGACCTGCAAGGTCTCTTCCAACTCTGTTATTCTGAATCTGGCTTCCCCCGTTGACTCTGCTTGTTGGAGACCAGCTGGGAAGGTCATAAGCAGGGCTCATGTGATCTCAGGATGCTGCAACCATTGTAAACACATGCCAGTTGCCAAGCATTTTGCATTTTGATCACATGGTCGTGGGGATGCTGCAGTGGTCATCAAGGCAAGGACTGGCCAAAAGTCTCTTTTTTTCAGTGCCCTTGTAACTTCAAAGGATTGCTCAACCTATGCTTGCAAGTCAGGGGATTGCCCGTATTCTTTGACGCAATGTAAGCTGTCCAGAATCTTGCAGCACCCGATATTCAGAGGTGTTTGGTCTTCACATCTGCACGTAGTAGTTTTCCCTTGGCCCCTGTAAGACGAGGTTGCCTTTTGAGTCTTTGAGCTGATCCGAGAAATTTCCAGCCAGCCTTATTTGCAACCGCCGTAAAGTCCCCTGCGCTGGCGGTGATGGATAGGTAAGCCTCTGCTCCTTGTCACTGATCTGTCACCTGTATATATGGGGGACACAAGGCTTATGCAAGAAATGCATTGAAAGAGCTATGTTTTGCAGCCACCGGATAAAAAGCCTGATTTGCTTTGTTTCTTTAGGGACTCGGTTCTCTGTCTTTGCCACTTCAGTGAAATTTACCGTAGCTTATACTGAAAAAGATTGTGAGCTTTATTAAGAGTTTCTCCAGGGCAATTTTCCTTCCCAGGTGTTATATATCTTTGATTTTTCAGGAGCTGCAAAGGCGGCGGCGGGGGGGGGGGGTAATCCTGGACGAGAAACCAATAGCTAAAAAAAAAAAAAAAAAAAGCACAGGGATATTTCTTAACGTGCTTTTTTGCTTCATTTTTCTTTACAGCTTTAAAGAACAACCACAACAATTCAAGCCCCAAATAGAAAAGCATCACAAAAGGAAAGGCTTGCACCGAAAAGCAAGGTTTTGCAAAAAAAAAACCAAAAAAACAAAAGAGAGGTGAAGCTTTTTGAACAGCTGATCTTTGCAAATGTAAAACCCCCAACTGGACCACAGACAGTTCTACATTTGGGGGGGGGGAAACCCTTTTTAGTGCAATGTGGTTATTTATAAGCCACAATTTATTTTATGAATGCTAATATGTACAGGTAAGTTCTAGACTATAACTGAAACAGAATTTCCATTGCTAAACAAGGTGATGGTTAAATAAGGTGAATCTGATTTTACCACCTTTTTTTTGCAGTGTTTGTTAAGCAAGTCAATCAGAATAGAGCTGGAAGGGATCTTGGAGGTCTTCTAGTCCACCCTCCTGCTCCAGCAGGAGACCCTATGCCATTTCTCAAACAAGTGGCTGTCCAATCTCTTCTTAAACAACTTCACAACTTCTGAAGGCCTGTTGTTCCGCTGGTTAATTGTTCTGACTTCAGTTGTTAAGTGAATTATGCGGTCTTTAAGCAAATCCAGCTTTCCTCGTGGAGTTTCTTGTTGGAAATGTTGAAGGAAAAGTCTTCATCATGGCTCAGTCCGAGCCGGGAATAAACAATATGGTGACTGCTTTAGAAAGAAGATTGCAGTATACTGATGAGGAGAACCAGGCAGAAAGATGGTTCTGGAAAAAAAGAGAGTGAGTACATGTATGGAGTGGGTTTTTATACCCTCTGGAGCAGTGTTTGTCAACCTTGACAATTTTAAGGCATGTGGACTTCAACTCCCAGAATTCCACAGCCAGCGTTGCTGGCTGTGGAATTCTGGGAGTTGAAGTCCACATGCCTTAAAATTGTCAAGGTTGACAAACACTGCTCTGGAGCCTTTTGTTTGGAGTTGTTCCTGTGGCATGAACTTTGACCTGAGTCTGAGTGTGCCTTTCTGGTATTCTGATACTATTATGTCCTGTGTTAGATTTTGGGTGGGGTATGTAGATTTTTAGGTGTCTTTGTCTTCCTAAGCTTCTAGCTGGGGGCATCCAACCTTCCTGAATGGATTATCAATCTGCATTTCTACAGAGCTGGTTTGGGGGAGGGAGACTTGGGGCTATTAAGAAAAACTGGGCATGCTTTTCTGCCTCTTTAAGATCCTTTGAGGAAATATATTTTTCTGCCCTTTTAATATTCCCTTCTCTGGGGGGCTGACTTCCCACAGAAGCCAGTTGGAAAGAGCACATGTGGGAATCACCTGACCTCAGGACACTGCAACTGTCACACATGCATGCCAGTTGCCGTGCATCCAAATTCCAAATCACACGACTCCGATGCGGTTGTAAGTCACTTTTTTCAGTGCCATTGTAACTTCAAAAGGTTGATAACAAATAGCAGTTAAGGCAAGGACTATCTGTACAGAGCAGGCAAAGGTGTCTGAATTATCTAAATTGCATAACTCTGGAATATTATTTAATAGTTGGGGAAAAGGAAATGCTGGAAATTTGAGATTTGACTCAAATATGACCTGTTTTTTTTTGGGGGGGGAGTTGAGATATGTCAGAGGACTTGCTAGAATCTGAGACACTAATTCTCTGCATGGGAAGCAAAGGATACACTCCCAAATACAGACAAATCTTATTTCTAATATTGACGCAATCCAGATGCAGGTTTTGGCTTTTGAGCTGAAAAGGGACAAAGGGTTGTCAACCTGCTGCCCTCCAGAGATTTTGGACAACAACCCTCAGCCTGAGCTCTGGGTCTTGTTCAGTGCTATATAACCCATTTTGCCCTAAGCAACTGGGATAGCCATCTTGGCAAGGATGATGGGAATTGAGGTCCAAGCAGCAGATGGGTTGCTCCTGGCAGGGCAGGTGTTTATAATCTCTGAATTTTTTTTTGAAACGAAACGAAACGAAACATAAGCAAGTTTTAAACTGCCCGCGACTGGACGATGCACAAAGCAATGCAACTCAGGAATACATCATGCAAATATTGGTCTTCCCACTAAGCTGCTTCATTCAGCTGCTAAATTTCGCTGATTCTGAACTTCCTCCGCTGCCTTTGCTGAATGAGATGCAACGTTAGCAAAGACATGATGGATATGCACGTGTTAAATCTCGCCCCTTTGGACCAGAGATCAAATCTATGTCGCAAATGCAAGCCGGCAAGGAGGGAAACGTCATAGAAGCTGCACCCCCCTCCTTTATATTTCACCCTTTATAGTCTCATGTTTTATTTTCCCCCCCGCCACTGCTCCCCCATGGTTTCTTCCGACAAAGGCGGGGCTTCCTTTTCTATTCGGGGCATCCCATCGGCTTCCCGCACGATTCCGGTCTTTCTTTCGTATTCGTTTGCCCATCCCACCCCCGTTTTTGCGGAGAACGTTGGTACGTTCCGCTCGAAGGCCTGCCTTTTACGCTTCCGTTGTCGCATTCTGGAAAGGGCTCTGCGCCCTCGAGAGGCGGCGTGAGGAGCCCGCTACGCCGCTTCCGTTAGAGAGCTCCGCTTATTCCCTACCGAGACTTACGGCGGCCTGGCCGAGGGACGGAAACGGCGTAGCGGACGCTCGTGGCGGGACGTGGCGGACCCAGGACGGTAACGCTCCCCGGCTCCCCTCCTGCCCTGCCTCCCCGGGTCTGTCGGCGGAGGGCGGCAGATATCCGGGGTGCCTGATGGCAGCAGCCGGGCGGGGGGGGGGAGCAGGATCCCCTGGTGGGCCCCGAATAGTACTCCAGAGCCCATCGTCCCCTACCCAAATGTGCTTGGGCCACCCCGTGCTTCCCAGCTGATGAACTTCTTTCATGGCCCTCCAGGTCGATGGGACTCTAACGCCCATCATCCCCAGCCATCATACTTCCTGGTAGCCCCCATCATCTTAACCTCTTCCTTTCCCCATCCTCTTCCGGGCTGATGAAGCTGCAGCTCCCATCATCCCCAGCCCGCTTGTTCCTCTTCCCTCCCTCCAGCTATGCTGGACTACAGCCCCCATCGTCTCAGGCGCCTTCCTTTTCGGCAGCTCCCATCATCCCCAGCCATCATACTCCCTGGTAGCCCCCATCATCTTAACCTCTTCATTTCCCCATCCCCTTCCGGGCTGATGAAGCTGCAGCTCCCATCATCCCCCGCCCGCTTGTTCCTCTACCCTCCCTCCAGCTATGCTGGACTACAGCCCCCCATCGTCTCAGGCTCCTTCCTTTTCGGCAGCTCCCATCATCCCCAGCCACCACAGCCTCTTTCCCTGTCCCGGAGAGGCTGGACCCTCATGCCCAGCTGGCACAACTGGACCCTCGCCCACCCTGGGGATGGGCTCTTCTGCCTCTCCATCGTCCCCAACCGGCGGGACCTCCAGATGTGGCACAATCCAGATGCTTAAAGACTAAAAAAACCCATCATCCGCCTACTTCTCACCCCCCCTCCCAAAGTGAATAATACTACGGTAACATTCATTCACAAAGCCACACTATGCGTTTCTATGCAAGGCAGAGGTACCAAAGCTAATACAATTAATAAGAATAGTAATAATAATAATAACAACAACAGTTACCCTTACATTTTGTACAAGCCATTGCAAAGCTGGTAGACATCAATGTTTATTCTTCGAATTTTTCTTCTGCTTTTTTTTTAAAAAAAAATATTCCACTAGCCCATTCCTCAGAGTCTCTCTCCCCTCGTTGCAGATTGAAGTTGCCGAAGCACCCAAGGAAGCCACAACTGGGAATAGGAACCTCTGGAGTCCTCCCCCCAAAAGGGGCAAACGACCCACCCTAAAGTGGGCTTGTGGGCAGCTTCCGTTGTGCAAACTCCCCTGACTCGTGTTCAATCCTTCCTCTTCAGAGTGGGACCTGTTTCCAGATGGACGGTGACCCCTGAAGCCCCTTCGACGGCTACCTGCCTTTGAGAGCCTCTGTGTAATCCTGGTCCGTCCTCGGCCTTGGCGCAGGACTTCACCATGTGGCGCAAGGCCCTGGCTGTGGCTCTGCTGGCTTTGACCACGGGTTACGTCTTCTGGCTGGACCCCACGTTGCCGGATTCCCTGTGGGAGCATCTCTCGGGCTCCTTCCTGAACCGACTTCGCGGGAATCTGGGGTCCCCGGAGGGCAACATGGCCGAGGCCTGGGATGCCCTCATCACCCAGCCAGCTAAGCAGTGGAACAGAGTCGCTGTGGGGTAAGGATAGATCGACCGCTTGCTTCGGTGATGTAGAATTGAATTCTATTCTTATTCTAATTCTGTAATTCTATTCTATTATAATAATAATAATAGTAAAGTTGGAAGGGACCTTGGAGGTCCAACCCCCTGCTCAGGCAGGAAATCCTATACCATTTCGGACAAATGGCTGTCCAGTCTCTTCTTAAAAACTTCCAGTGTTGGAGCATTCACCGCTTCTGGAGACAGGTTGTTCCACTGGTTAATTGTTCTCACTGTCAAGAAGTTTCTCCTTTGTTCTAGGTTGCTTTTCTCCTTGGTTAGTTTCCACCCGTTGCTTCTTGTCCTGCCTTCAGGCGCTTTGGAGAATAGCTTGATATTCTATTCTATTCTATTCTATTCTATTCTATTCTATTCTATTCTATTCTATTCTATTCTATTCTATTCTATTCTATTCTATTCTACTGTACTCTACTCTATTTTCTATTCTATTCTATTCTATTCTATTCTATTTTCTATTCTATTTTCTATTTCTATTTCCATTCTACCCTACCCTACCTACCCTACCCCACCCTACTCTACTCTAACCTGTGGGGTGGGGGGGAAGGCCTGGTCTTCGTTTTTCCAAAGCAGAATTGTCATCCCTTCTGAGGCAGAAGGCCCTGTGTGCAAATTGGAGGGTTTTTTGCAGAGCCTTGATTCCTGAGGTGGTTCCTCTCCCTTCGCTTGCTCTTCAGGGTCAACACCTGCGTAGATGTGATCCTGTCCGGGGCGAAGCTGCTGCAGGCCCTCGGCTTCCACGGCCAGGGCGGGAAAGACCACTCTGTCTTGCGTTCCGCTGCTGATCTGGAAGAAGCCTTCCTCCATTTTATGGGGAAGGGGGCGGCTGCAGAACGGTTCTTCAGTGACGCAGACGCCTTCCACCGCATCGCACAAATGGCGGCCAGCTATCCTGGCGCCCAGGTGGGCTTTTCGCTTGAGGAGGAGGTCCTCGTGACCCAGTCGGTATCAGGAATCAAAGGCCTCTTCCGGAGGGGTGCGAGATTTGGGCCCCAAGCAGGGAAGCTAAGGATCCAAAGCATTCCTGCCCTTTCCAGATCCGAATACTGCATTTTACTACCCTTTAAGTACTGGCAACAACCAGGTCCAAAATAACAAAGTCTTGGTTTCCAATTAGATTACTGCTATGTTGGCCACTTCAAGATGTGTGGACTTCAACTCCCAGAATTCTGGGGAATTCTGGGAGTTAAAGTCCACATATCTTCAAATGGCCAAGTTTGAAAAAGACTATTTTTTTTCCAACAAACGACAGTCTGATAAAGCGTTACCTTACAAAGCATAAGCTACCCGAGTTAGTTTGTATTATGCATGCCCTGCATTTCATTTGTGGTGGGTTTAAATGACGGGACTCTCCCATTTTCTTGAAAAAGAAAAAGGAAAAAAAAAAAGACCTGTTTTGTATAGTGTACTATATTTTTAAATTTTAAAACTTTTAAATTAATATTTTTATAAAGCGTTTTTGGCCTCGGCCAGAGACAACATCTACCTGACCTTGAAGGATAAGCAGAATTGGGACTGGTTATGCCTTGAATCTCCCTGAGAATTCCAGAGTAAACTGGGAAGCTGAAGAAATACCGTATATTCCGGCGTATAAGATGACTTTTGAGAGTGTTGAAACAGGCGCTGAACTCGGGGGTCGTCTTATACGCCGAGTCGTCTTATACACCGGAAATAAGGTAGTTTCTGGCGTATAAGACGACTTCCTAGGCATGCGACTCGGTGTTGATCGTCTTATACGCCAGAAATAACGTAGTTTCCAGCTTATAAGATGACTTTCTAGGCATGCGACTCGGCGTCGATCGTCTTATACGCCGGAAATACCGGTAGTTTCCGGCGTATAAGATGACTTTCTAGGCATGCAACTCGGCGTCGATCGTCTTGCGACTTGGCGTCGATTGTCTTGTGACTCGGCGTCGAACTCGGGCGTCGTCTTATACGCCGGGTCGCCCTATACACCGGAATATACGGTACTCCCAAAGATTGATTAATTCATTATGTGCCATCAAATCACTACCGACGCTTAGCAACCACGTAGATTTTCTCCAGGGGGATCTGTCCCTAACTTGGTCCTTCAAGTCTTCCACAGATGTTCCCATTGCTACGGTAGCTGAGTCCATCACCCTTATTGCTGCTCATCCTTTTCTTTCCTTCCATCTTTTCCGGAATTACAGACTTTTCAAGAGAGCTAGGTCTTCATGTTGATTATATACCATCAAATTGGCATCAACTCTTAGCAGCTACTTAGGCAGATTTTCTCCCAAGACAATTTAACCTGGTTTCTTCAACTTTTCCAGTATATTGAGTTGCTGCTGGTTATTTTTTTCTTCTCTTTCCATCCACCTTTCCCAGCCATGAGAGCTTTCTCCAGACAGCTAGATCTTTGCATTGTGTGCCGAAGGAGATAATTTGAGCCAGTGGCAAGTCACTTCCTATGTAATTGCTCCCAAGGATGGGGTCAGCGGGAGTCAATTCCTACGTTTTCGCCTTTTAATTTGCTTTTAATAAAGGCATTTGGGGATAGCTCTGTGTGAGTGTGTGTGTGTGTGTGTGTGTGTGTACATGCAGTTCAGCCTTTGTAATTAAACCTCCTTTAGCCGTGTTCCGCTGGTTTAAACGATGAAAATGTAAAACACTGCCCAATGCTACAGATTTCCAAGGCTACCTTAAACCAGTGTTTCTTCAACAACTCCAGGTTGATAATGAATCTTCTGAAATTTACAGCTATGTAAATTTCTGCAAAGTCATGCTAGTTCTTGGCCACAACTGCACCAGAAGCTGTAAATCCACTGTGAGTTGACAGCTTATTTTATCAATGCTCAATCTCACTTTTAACTTAGAACTTGATTAATGGCTTTAAGATTCTTTCTTTTGTCCACACTTGCGTTTATCAGATGTTTTGAGGGCTCAAGGAACTGGGGGTCCATTTTTCCTGGTTCTATACAAACAAGCCCACAGGTTTGTCTCACTTGTACTTATTTCTGGAGAGATAGTAGCAGACTAGAATTAGCTGATATCTGATGCTCAGAATGTGTTTTCTGGAAGGAGAAAGACTGCTGGTCCTCCCTGGGAGGCGGAGTGTCATTTTTTTTTTAAATTGAGTTTGCATTCTGTTCTTCATCAAAAGAATATGCCCAGCAGATGAAAGAGCTAAATTAAAACTGAAAGCAAGTCAAGAACTGAAAATGGCTGCAAGAGTCAGCAAATATGTCAAGGAACCGAAAGCTTGAATAAAGAGAATAAAATACATAATCAAGAGAACTTTGCAAACAATCTTGTCTGTGCTCTCACCATCCTCTTTTTGCCCCCTCTCGCTTCAATTTTACGTGCTTATAAAATTGCCAGTGCAGAAATCTGCAGCACTGGAAAATAGCATTGACCCGTGAAACCTTATACTTCAGTGTAATTGGCCGGTTTTTAAAATGCCACCTATATCCCGCTTGTATTATGACAGTATTGGCAAAAGGCTTAACGATATCCCTTCACTTGGAAGTGGGTCCAATGACTTCTTACTCTCTTGCAGTTGTATGTTGGAGGAAATGCCGCTCTCATCGGCCAGAAAATTGCATCTCATCCTGACTTAAAGGTAAGCTTTATTCTCTGCCAGTAACTGTAAATTGTGTTGTCCCACCGGTGATTGTATATCATAATGTGGCTGACAATGTGCACAAATGACACACGTCTGCTCACTGCATTTAGATCTCGAGCAGTAGCACACCAAAAGAATCAAGGGTGCACATGAACAAACGTGACTTGGCAGACAGGCATGATTGACTTTTATATCCTGTTTTTAATTTATCAATGGGAAAATGTTTTGCCATCCTATGCCTCTAAATGCGGATCAGGATCAAAACCGGAAAATTCATTAAGAACCTAGCCAATTTGAGAGAAGTTATTATCGGTCTGTTTACTTGTAGGTTCTACTTTGTGGCCCAATTGGGCCTAAACTTCACGAGTTGCTTGACGAGAATGTAATGGTCCCTCCAGAATCACTGCAAGAATTAGATGAATATCATCTTATTTTGGAATACCAAGCAGGTATGTGCCGTTTGAAGATCCAAAAGGCAATTGGTAGAGTAGCGTAAACGACCATTATCGTTAGTATGTATATTATAACCACTAAAGCAGTGTTTGTTTTTCAACCTTGGCGACTTAAAAGACGTGGACTTCAGCACCCAGAATTCCTCAGCCAGCAAAGCTTCAAGTCCACATGCCTTCAAGTCGCCAAGGTTGAGAAACACAGCACTAATGTATCCAGTGATTAAGAAACATCCTGGTTGAGAGCTGGACACCATCACAAACCCACCGGTTAACCATTGTATCTTAGGTTCAGATTTGCAACATGGTCCTCACAGAACTCTCTGATCGATTACGTTGAAGTCTAATAGAGAAATACCCAAATGCAAAAATAGTAAATAAAATAAAATAAAAATTAATCCCCCCCTCCTCCATATTTGTCAATATTGCAGAAGTTTTTAAAATGCATTGCCCAGTTGCCCATCTGGGAACAATGCGCGGGAAAGCTTCACTCTCCCTGGCAACGAATTGCAATCTGTAACGGGTTTCAGAGTTCAGCTGCTTCGGTGTGATCCAACTGGAGAATGAGAGGCAAGCAGTGAGCATGCTCAGTAGGAGTCTGGCAATGAAACGGATTCGTGAGACCTGCTCTTTTTTTCCTGGACTTTGCTCTGCCACATTAACGTTCTGCAGTCAGCAATGTTTTGAATCCACCCAGGCCTGGAATTTCCAGTCATGGGAATATGCATAGCTCTGCTTTAAGCACAGAAAACTGACTGCATGATCACCTGATTAAGATCTACAGTGTTTTTGCAAAAACAACAAGAAAAAGATGTTTACAACTATTATTCACTTAACGAGTGTGGTGTTTGCTTAATGGCTGCAGTGCTCGCTTTATGACCACTGCCAGAAAGATCATAGTGTTGAGTTGGTCAAATGACCATCGTAACTTAACATCCGTAATGTACAGGCTCCCATTATGGGCCTAACTTGAGGACTACCTGCAAGTGACTTGACTAGCAGAAGTTCCAAAACTACGAGTGGCCTCATGGCACGCTTTCTACAGGGGGAGTTTATTCCTTTCCTGATAACCGAAGATCAGGAGAAGTCATAAGAGCTGTCACGAAGGCAAGATGTCTCTGCAAAGATTCCGTGCAATGATGGCCTTTTGTGTTATGGTGCGTCTGTGTGTGTGCTTATCAGGTGAAGAATGGGGAGAGCGGAGAGCTCCCAACGCCAACCGATTCATCTTCTCCCATGACCTGTCCAACGGGGCCATGAACATGCTAGAAGTATTTGTATCCAGCCTGAAGGAATTTCAGCCAGACCTGGTGGTGCTTTCAGGATTCCATATGATGGAAGGACAGACCAGAGAGCTGCGCCAGAAGAGGATCCGAGAGGTAAGATCCAAAATGCTTGGGTTTCTCTTTTCAAAATTTTCCCAGAACTATTTTGTCACTTAAAAAGACTAGAGATAGAGCTTTACGGTCAGGATGCTGGGAATGAGGTATGCTGCAATGTCGAGGTTGACAAACCAAAGCTTGCAGGCAAAATGTGGCCCTCCCAGCTTTTGTATGGTCCACGAGTTAGAATATGGTCAGATGGTCAAGCCTGACCTCAAGCAAGCTCCTACGGTGAGGGGAGGGCCAGGATCAGGCCTCCTGTGGCCTATCAGCAGCCTCCCTGCTGGTGCACCAATGCTGTCCATTGGCTGCCACGCTCCTTGGCCCACAGATCTGTCAGACGTGGCCGCAAAGATGGAGGAAGGACAGGATCTGGTCCTTTATAGATAAAGCTTGCCAATTCCTGGTCTAATCCATTATCCTCCAGCTTGCAGCATTTCCTAGGGGCAGTGCTGGGGATGATGGGAGTGGGCATCCAGCAAGATGGTCTAGGAAGATGAATCAAAGACTTTCTTTTGCCCTGCAAGGAGATATGTTTGGATGTTCACCAACCACTCATTGACGCAACAGCCCTTCAATAGGAAACAAGCTGACTCCATTTGGTGGTCTCCCTCTGCTATCTTCCTATATGCCTTTGCTTCTCCTAATCTGAATTTTTGTTTGTGTGTGTCTGTGTGTTTCTGTAGGCTGTAACTTCCATTTCTGACATTCCCATGGACGTCCCGATCCATTTAGAATTAGCCGGTATGACCGACCCAGACCTCATGAGAGAAATAATTCACCAGGTAATCACAATTGATGGAGTCTCTTCACCTTCAGAACAGATGGAAGTTGTGAGATGAATTTAAAGTATCTGGGATGCTGTAGACAAAGGCAGAGTTATTTAATGTGGAGGGAAGACCTTGGCTGGAGATTACGACCTGCCTATTTTACATATTATGAGTCAGGAACCAGCACAGTCACAGGTCAAGATCCAAGGTCTACCAAAAGGCAGATCACCACAGACTGCACAGGCCAAAAGTCCATTCAATCAGATGGCAAGGATCTCCATCTTGGCATGCTTGATCCAAAGTTACGCTTTAATTTCCAGTATATTTCATGCCTTAATCCAGGGGTGTCCAACCTTTGGACCCATTTCAGACTTTGTGGACTTGCCCAGAATTCCCCAGCCAGCCATGTGTGAATTCTGGAAGCTGAAGTCCAAGGATGGACACCCCTGCCTTCACCTTTAGAAGTTGGGACTCCTCCAATGCCAACCTATCACTTGGTCTGTCTGTTAGCAGATCTTCCCTCTCGTGAACTCCATTGGCTTGAACGAGCAAGAGCTGCTGTTCCTCAGCCAGGCAGCCTCAGGACCTCACTCCTCCTTAACTTCCTGGAATGGCGTTCCAGAGGTGGCTGTTGTCAGTGACATCATTTTCTGGATCTTGAAAGAATACGGGAGAACTTCAGCTCAGGCTTCGGATCTCACCCGGATCCACTTCCATACTTTGGCCTACCACCTCCTGGTTACCGTGGATGGGTACTGGGGCAACCAGGTGGCAGCGGTGGCTGCTGGAGCCAGGGTGGCGGGAACCCAAGCTTGTGCCACCCAGACCATTGACGCCAGCAAAGTCTTCCTGAAGGCACCACTGGAGTTTGCCACTTCCAAGATGGAGGGGGCCTCCAGAGTCTCCTTAAATCCGAAGGAGCCCATATCGGTATGGCATCAGGACGCCATTTCTTTCCATTACACTCCCGTGCTGGTGTGTAAAAGCCCTCTGCGGACTGTGGGCCTCGGGGACGCCATATCTGCTGAAGGACTCTTGTATTCAGAAATCCATCCTCATTAACCACCGAATAAAGAGATCACTCCATTGTTTAGAGTCCAGGGGTAGTCAACCTTGGCTCTTTTATGACTTGTGGAATTCCTGAGCCAGTATAGCATAGCTGGCTCAAGAATTCTGGGAGTTGAAGTCCACGAGTCATAAAAGAGCCAAGGTGTTCAGACCAACAGGTAGAGGCTGGAATTCAGATTGGATCAGGAACCAAAGGGGCGAAAAAATAAATGCTATCCAGAACTTGGATTTATTGTCACAGGAATGTTTATAATGCAAAAATGGTAAGGTAGGAAGGGACCCCTTTTGGTCGGAGCGAGAAAGCCAAGTTTATTTATTTTTTTAAAAATTAAGTCCATTTCATTTGCTATAATTTCTAAAAAGGGATGTTGTTCGTGGTGCCTGCTTATTCCAGGGGGGGATATAGGGATTCTTTTCAGAATCGTATCAGCCAGGCAGAAGTAAAAAAAAAAAAAATATTATTATTTCTTTACCTTCCTGACATAGAAAAACCCAAGCTTCTACTTGTTTGGAAGACCAATGTATTTACCCTTTAACTTTCCTACTTCCAAAGATGTACCAGCCTATTAACAGGCAAGGAAAGGGTTCTCCTCTTAGGCTCATAAAGTGACTGAGGCTGGATAATGCTAATTTCCTTCGCTGGATAATGCTAATTTCTTCTTTTGCCTTTTGCGGTTGCTACTTTCAAAGGTCTTTTGTTGGCAAGGTGATTCTCAAATGTGAGGCAGTTTTGTCTCCTAACAGTGAAGGCTGGGGGCAAGGATGAGAAAGGAGAGCCTACCGTATAACCGCTGCTGACATGTTAAGCGTAATAAACAGAACAAGTTGCAATAAATCTGTGAAGAATGCCGACGTATATCTTGCTGAAGCCTTAACGTGGCCCTTAATAGACAACCAGAAATAATGCTTTTTTTTTAAAACTGAACTTTGATTAAGAAAATGGAGCTTCTAGCATTTCTAGCTTGCTATAATTAGCATGAGGTCTTAGGATCTCAGGAAGGTGGATTTCAATTGTTCATCCCATCTTTTTCTTTGCAGTACAGCATAAAAACAGTGCCTGGTATGAGAGGGTCAGACCTGTGAGTTATTTACATAAATAAAATCCAGAATCTGCCAGGAGCTGGGCAAAAGCCAGTGCAGGTGCGAGGCTTGGGGGCAGAAATTCAGATCCAAATTTGTGCTTGGTAATTCCCACTTGGTAGGTGAGACTTCAGTGGTTGTAAATTACAGGGGGGGGGGCTGTGTAAAGAGTAAAGGAGTGGGTTTAAGTCCCAGAGAGGAAGGACAAGATAAACATATCACTAACAACGGAACTGAAATGTTCAGATTGGCCTTTTGAGTGTGACAGAATGGGATGAATGCTGGGAGACCTTAATAACGTACATAGGTAGCTCTTGACTTAAAACCATGATTGAGCCTGGAATTATGGTTATACGTTGTTGTGGTTAAATGGATCGTCATACAGCTGCAGCCGATTTTGTGAACTTTTTCTGGCGCTTAAGCAAATCCATTTTATCCAATGGGCGTTTTTTGTTTTGGGCCAGAAAGCAAATGTTCCAAAATGTCAAAAATCACAAAAATTCCACAGAATGCTACAAAAGGCTGTAAATAAAAGCCAGTTGCCAAACGCCCAAAATATAATCACATGACTGGGGGGGGGGGGATTATGAGAACTGTAAATTGAGTCGTAAGTACCTTTTGTGGGGTCCATCATAACTTCAAACGGTCGCTAAGCAATGTACTGTGTCCCATTGACTTTCCCCCTTTTTTTTGTTAATGTCACTGTAAATGTATTCAGACTCAAGGTACAATTAGAAAGACAGCAGCCCCTGAAACATTTTTCTCCCATAGTGTGATTTATATATTCATTTTTAAAGCGGGGGTACCTCTCTCTCCCCAGTTGAAATAGCCACAATTTTTGCATTCCTGTGAAGTTGATGCGTTTTAGACTTTCCCCACTTCTTGAGACAGAATAGATGTTAACTTGATTCTTTGGCTCATATTCTGGACAGTTGCTCATATCCTTTAACCGAAAGTAACATACTGCTCACATCGGGACTGTGGTAGGGAGGGGGATATTTAATACTTGTCATTTTGGGATGCTGTTTTCTTTCTTTGACTGAATATTGGAGAACTCCAGTGGCATTGGGACACTTGGGCGGGAGAGCAAACATCAGAATGGTGGCATTGAGGAACCAGCAGCTAAAAACGTAGAAGACTTGAATACGTTTTTTTTTTTTTTTGCTCTTTCTTATGAGAGAAATGGTGGCAGTTAAACGTGCAGCTTCTTTCTACAGAGTCTGCACTGCTTATAAGGATGCACTGCTTCTATTGCACAGTGGCCACTATGTGGTGGCTACACGGGGGGAAAAAAACACTCCACAGTTGTTGCTTTCATTCCTTGTCTTAGTCCCTTTTAGATTTCAGGTCTATTTCATCCTATTCAAACCTGGCAAGTCTTTTTCAACAATTTAATCTTAGTTAAAGTCATCCAGGCTATATTGGGAGACCTGGTCCCTGCTAATGTTCCTTTCACATGTTTTCTTATCTGTGGCCTTTCTGTTTTACTGCATTCCTTCTACTTTGGAATAGCCACGTTTACTTGAGATCTTCTAAAGCAGAGATCCACCGCCTTTTGGGCACCAGGGACTGGTTCCGAGAGAGGTTTTTCCGTGGACCGGAAGGTGCGTGATTCTGTGTGCTGACTGCATCCCACGGATGGGGCTATGCTTGCTTGCGTGGACCAATTGCTGGCATGCCGCGGACCGGTACTGGTCCACAAACTGGAGGTTGGGGACCCCTGTTCTAAAGAGTATTATTGGTATCCAAATTGGGAAAAAAATATTTTTGGCAGATTCTCGATAGTTTTCCTTGCCCGTTGTACTAGAACAGTGTTTCTCAACCTTGTCAAAATGTGTGGACTTCAGTTCCCAGAATTCTGACTGAGGAATTTGGTAAGGTTGAGAATCAACACACTAGAGCAGGGTTCTCCAAACTTGACAACTTTTAAGACTTGTGGACCTAAACTCCCAAAATTCCCCAGCCACAGCATGGCTGGCTGGGGAATTCCTGGAGTCCACAAGTCTTAAAGTTGCTAAGTTTGGAGAGCCCTGTACTAAAGCAAAGCAGCAAGGTCAGCTGAAGATTTACACACCTTTCTTTATCCTCCTTAATGTGACCTTTTTCAAGTGTGTGGGAGTTAAAATTCCCAGCTGGCTCATGAGGTGGAAATTCTGTAGTTGCCAAATACGTTTGAATGGGAGGCTGAGCTAAAAGGGGATGGTCCAAGATTATTGCTAAAGAAATTAAAATTAATAGATTTGTGAGCTTTTCTGAATCCCAGGAGGCTTCTTCCTATGGTTCCTTTGTACATAGTGCTTGCCTTATTGTTTTCATTCCATTCAAAATTAATTCACTGTAATCATATTATCCAAATTCTCAGGGAGTTGTCGGCTGGAGGTCCAAATGTAGGATCCGGTGCTTTAAACTGCATCGATTAAATGCAACTTTAAGACCTGTAAGACTTCAAGTCCCAGAATTCCCCAGCCACTGGTCTTGCCAAGTTGCCAAAGTTGGGCACCTCTGGGGTAAAGCATCGGCATCCATTTTTCTTGGTGCCAGGCAGTTGTGAAACATAACAGTTGCAAAACTCAACTGTGACATGGAAACTACATTTTTCTTCCTTTCTTTTCAGTAAAAAATAGCAGGGATTGAGTGGACTGTTTTAGGAGCCTTCTCTGAAGAAATGTCTTGAATAGCTTTTCTTGCCAAAGTATTCTGCCTGCGCCGTTCTTATGAAATAAGTATTTTTTTTAAATCAGGTACGAGGTCTTGACGATATGGGTGTAAAAAATCCCACGGCGCTATACAATGGTGTTTTCAATAAATGTTGTTTTGCATTTAATGTACAAAAGGGGCCTCGCCTGGTTTGTTGTTGTTTTTTATACTTCACAGGTACCTGAAAACGCTTAGGGAACGAGATGCTACTACTTTTCATCCAAACAGATGTAGTAGCTCTCTAGGGTTTTTAAGAAAAGGGCTTAATCCTCTGAACTTACCAAGAAATACAACTGAAGCTGGGAAACTCCACAATGGGCCAATGCCTTTCACAACTTTAGCTCTGTTCCTGCTTACATGGAGAGAAATTACATCTTTAGTAACTGGAGGGCTTCTCTCTACTTTACTAACATTATCAATAAAATTCCGAGCATTTGCCATGATTTCAATGTTTCAAGCTTCAGTTTGCTCTGAGGATAATTCTCCTAAGCTGAGCCCACCCTTCCCTTCCTTGCTAATTCCTCGTCTATGACTAATGGAGCCTGCCTGTCATGATCATAAGACATGACGGTCGTAAAACAAGACCCTGGTGGTTGTAAAAAAGAACACGGCGGTTGTTAAATGAACCGATGGTTCACTATGAGCTGGTTTTCAGCAGAGCTGTTTTAAAACACAGCCGTGACTAGGATGCTACACATACTTCACAGCTGCTTCACAGTCTAAGGACCCTATTATATTCACAATGTAAGGGACTTCAATAACATGGGAAAAGTAATATATAGAAGGGATTTCCATCAACTCATCACATTTTTATTTATACAAAAAAAGCTTAACCCCATCCAATATACGCACTTTTCAATTTTAGTATATGTTCTGCCAAAGCGAGCATATAATGTACTTCTCTACTATGTTATCTAGTAGTAAATTCCACCACCAATTGATTGGTAAGAGGACGGAATCTGCTCCTCTTAGGGGATTCCACTGGGTTCAAAAGTGGCAGGAAACACAGAAGTCCTATAAAAGCATTTGCAGCTGGATTCTACCCAGGTTCAACAATCCCAAACAAGTTACTTGTTTAGGAATATACGAGTAGATGCCTCCGGTTATGGTTCAACAGAACAGCTGGGTCATGAGTTCAGAAATAGCAATAGCCATAGCTCTTAGACTTATATACCGCTCCACACTGCCCTCTTTAAGCGGTTTACAGAGTCAGCCTATTGCCCCCAACAATCTGGGTCTTCATTTTACTGACCTCGGAAGGATGGAAGGCTGAGTCACCTTGAACCGGTGAGACTTGAACTGCTGGCTGTGGGCAGAGCTAGCCTGCAATGCTGCATTCTGACCACTGTGCCGCCACAGCTCGTACGGCTCGAAATGCTACCAAAAAGTAACTCGGCATCAGTAGAAAAATATTAGAAAGGGCTATATTCTCAAAATCTAGAGACATCTCTTAGTAGAAACTTAATCAACTCACGTCTCTTCCTGTTATGAAGGTCCAATGGCTTCCAAGGAAAGCTACTCAAACTTTGTCCCTCTCTTCATCTTTCATTAGTCTACATGTGGAATGTTAAGGGAACAACACAACCTCCGAATATCTCATCGGCTAATGGTGTGCGACAGGACTGCTGCATTCTTTCGTCTGGTGCAAAGTTTGTAGGATACTACATGCACCTTGTCCCTATTGCACCCAGTAGGTTCAACACAGCACTCTAGAAGCAGTTCCAGGTTGGCCCTCTCTTCAAGACTGCTCCGCTTGTTCGACGGGCTGAATTTGTTCCTGTGGTTTTAGAGTAGATGGAAGTTCCTCGGGGGTCGGTTGCTTGGGTTTAGGCTCCAAAGGTAAGGGAGGAACCTTTGCCACATGAGTTGAACTTCCAAGAACTGGAGAAGGAGAAAGCACAAAGTAGTGATGCCAATATTCTTCTCTTCCAGTTAAAAAAGCGGTGAAATGCATATTGATATTCCCACTTCTTTTATGATGCTGGAAGGTCAACATTTCTGTACTTCGTTCTTTATCTCCTCCACTTAAGCTTATTTTATGGATCTGTTATGCTCGCTCATTACCAAAAAAACTGAAATATGGCAAAGAACCTAAACATCCGCAGATGTTTGAGACACCTGGGAGCCCCCTTAGGATTGATTGATTGATTGACTGATATTTCATATTTCTTAACTGTCCATCACCCTCAGGGGGATGCACCGAAGGACCCAATTAGGGCTTAGTCCAGGGGTAGGCAACCTCAGCTCTTTTATGACTCATGGACTTCAACTCCCAGAATTCCTGAGAGCTACGCTAACTCAGGAATTCTGGGAGTTGAAGTCCATGAGTCATAAAAGAGCCGAGGTTGCCTACCCCTGACTTAGTCAAGAATTTCCCACTGTCCCATTCTTCCCGGCCACCCTTGTTTTATTTGCTTCCTTCTTTAATTAAAAATTCTCTTATGTACAATGTTACAACTCTGAGTTTGGTTCTTAAATAACTCAACTGCTTCTCCTTTCCCCATTCCGGGGCCACCACCTTGAAGAGACACTGCTGACATTGTGCAATGTGCCGTAGGCTTCCTTTACTGTCAAGCGTTCATATTCTCTCTTTCTCTCTCTGCTTCCCTGCCACCAACAAGACAAAAGGGAAATCTTATGTGGATACTTTTCTGCACAGCCGAGTCGAGATTTCATTCTTATCCTGGCTCCTCTTTGGGTCAAATGGACTCTGCCGGTTAATGTTTTTTGACTTCCGTTATGTTGTGTTTGTGGCTCCAGTCGGGATTAAATTGTGGTGGTTTTTAACCCTTCTATGGTGCTGGGAGTCATTTTTGTGAGATGGGAGGTGACATGGTTTAAATAGTTATTTATTTAAAACATTAATAAAACCGCCCATATTTCAAACAACTCTAGGCAGCTCCCAATCAAAATAGATAAATATCCGATATGAAGCAGAAGACCCGACAATGGAATCAACATACGGTGCTCTACCTATCTCTAGTTATCGTCCTTTTAATCTAAGCAGGGGCAGCACTAGATACAAACATGTGGCTAAACCAGGAGTTTTCAAACTTGGCAACTTTAAGACCTATGGACTTCAACTCCCAGAATTCCCCAGCCAGACATGCTGAAGTGCACAGGTCTTAAAGTTGCCAAGTTTGGAGACCCCGGGGCTTAACCAGATAACCAGCCATTACCAAGATAGGTCAGGGGCCACTGAAACCAACTTTTACTGCAGGGGTCTTCAAACGTGGCCCTTTTATGATTTGTGGACTTCAACTCCCAGAATTCCTCAGCCGGGCAAGCTGGCTGAGGAACTCTGGGAGTTGAAGTCCACAAGTCATAAAAGGGCCACGTGTGAAGACCCCTGCTTTACTGAGCAGCTCCCGGGTCTAGGAGTTCTTGAGAAGAACCGAGAAGGCAAGGATGGATTCTGCTGAAGCCAAGCAGCACCAGAAGACCTACCTCGGCTCATTGTCTTTGCATACCCAGCTGCAGAAGACATTGCCTGTCCCAGAGCCTGATTGGAACCCAATGGCTGTGCGCTGGGCGTGGCGCCTCGCAGCTTCGGTTTCGAGTCTTTCCCAGGTTTAGCCCAGATGGCCACCTCTCCAAGCTGTAAGGAAGTGCCCAGTCTCTGGGCGATGTCCACCATCTGACCACGCAAGAGTAAAAGAAGAAGGAAAACTGAATGCCTGGTCCAATCCTGCAGCAGGTTTTACCCGAGTCCTGCCCCCATTTTTGCCTGCACTGAATGAAATAAGAGAATCTCGAGCGATGCTTATGTAGCTATTCAGAAAAAAAGGCTCCATTTGTCTTCGGTTGCCAGGAGCAATTTTAATCTTTGAAAAGGACGCAAATTGAATCCTCTGACTTGAATATACTTGCAGTAACAGAGGTATCTTCTCTAACAGAACACCTCTGAGGAAGTCAACCACTCTGCTCCCCTGCTATGGAAGTTCCCATTAGTAGTTTTCAACCAACCTACCTCGGGGTCAAAATCCAGGGTGCTCTCTTTTAAGGCCTGGACCTTTCTTTGCATCTCATAGTACTGAGCAACAGCCCCCGTCTTGTCTCCTTGGTTGTATAGCAGGATTGCGTAATTCAGACTGATGAGTGGGTTGCATCTGCAAAGCAGAAGAAACCCGGTGTAATCTTAAGCTTGAAATACCAAACATGGTATTTGGCCAGTAAATGGCAAAGCAATTTGGCCAGAAAATGACAAATGTGCCTAATTGCATTGTAGCCACCAAATTCTCTCATACAGAAAGGATTACAGAGGCTTGATTTTTATGACCTGGGTCGAGGCAGTGGATCAGACTAAGGATAAGGAAGAGAGAGAAGAATAGAATAACTGTATTGGAAGAGACCTTAGAGGTCTTCTAGTCCAACCCCCTGCTCAAGCAGGAGACCCTACACCAGTGGTGGCGAACCTTTTAGAGGCCGAGTGCCCAAACTGCAACCCAAAACCCACTTACGCATCGTCGAGTGCCGGGTGGGTGTGGCCCATTGGCTGGGTGTGGCCCATTGGGTGGGCGTGGCTGCGGTGGTAACAGCAGACTGGGTGGGACTAAAAAGTTCAATCAATCAATTCCAACTTTACAAGATCGTTTTTTTTCCTGTGAGAAGTTGAAATTGATTGATTGATTGAAGCTTTTTTTTTTTTTTTGCACACAGTGGCAGAGGCCTAAAGCGAAAAGGTTTTATAAAACCCAGCTGAAAGCCTAGGACTGGGGCAACGGCACACATGCCCACAGAGAGGGCTCTGAGTGCTGCCTCTGGCACCCGTGCCATAGGTTCGCCACCACTGCCCTATACCACTCCAGACAAGTGGCTGTCCAGTCTCTTCATAAAAACCTCCAGTGATGGAGCACCCACCATTTCTTAAGGCAGGTTGTTCCACTGGTTAATTGTTCTCACTGCTAGGAAATTTCTCCTTAGTTCTAGCTTGCTTCTCTCCTTGAGAGGTTTCCACCCATTGCTTCTTATCCTTCTGGTGCTTTGGAGAAGAGATTGACCCCCTCTTCTTTTGTGGCAGCCTCTCAAATATTGGAAGACTGTGATTTTGAAGGTCCACAGGCCTTAGAAGTTGCCAAGGATGACACCCCTGCTCTATAACCCATCCCTTTTCACTGAGTTCAGAGGAAGCCTAAAATTAAGTCAGTAGAGAATACATACGTGTCCAGGGATGAAGCTTTCTGATAGGCTAGCCTTGCATTTTCAAGATCTTCAAGATTTGTCAGGGCAACTAAAGTAAGGAAAGGAAGAAAAAAAAAAAACAGAAGGGTTTATCTTCCTAATGGGGGGAGGGAACACTGAATTTAAATTTTACCCTTGAACCCATGACATTTTCATTTTAAAAGAATGAAGGTCTCACTCTTAAGGTGAAATTATCTTAACGTAATTGTTTTAGGAAGGTTCGAGATCATGAATGAGGACTGTATGTCTAAAATACTACATCAATGTATACTAGCTATTGTAGCAAAGCAGATGTTTCTGGATGCTAGGAATCATAAGTAAGGAGGCGTGGAGGGCAGGGGTAGTATTGATACCTGCTAACAACATGTAAAGTTCTGCCAACTTTGGCTGGAGATGGACAGCTGCGCTGATGAAGTGGAAGGCAGAAGCATACTGGTGCATTGTCAGATGGACCAGCCCAAGATTGTACAGGATCTTCCAATCAAAGGGTGCAAGGTAGTTTGCCCGTTTCAGGCAGCTGATAGCCTGCGGAAGAACATTATTTTGTCACTAGGGCAGTGGTTCTCAACCTTTTTAATGCCGCGACCCCCAACCGGTCGTAAGTTGAGGACTACTCAACTGGTGCAGCACCGTTTGCAGAAGGGGACTTTTGGCGGGCTCAGCAGGGCAGAGACAGCCTGGACAATTCCTATTGGCTTTGGAAAGCCAATAGAATTAGACTCTATTCAAGAGAGTTGAAGTCCACACGCCTTAAAATTGTCAAGGTTGAGAAACACTGTAATCTGGCGCCTGATCAAGTCTTCACAAAGCCTCTGGCGAGAATGCCAGAGGCAGAAGGCACGGGGAAAGGGAGACACAGCAGGGGTCCCCTCCTTGCTGTTTCTTATTTTCTCCAAATGTTGGGGCGCGAGCCAGATCCACCCGCCTTCCCTCTCCCTGTGTACGTGCTGCCCCCCACCCCCTTTCCCCCAGCCCAAGGCCTTGAAAGGAAAGCAAATATACCAGGAAACAGACAAGAGTAAAAACAGTGAGGAACAGGCCTCCGTCTCTTTCTTGCAACCAAGGAGCCCAGCAGCTGGAGAAACACATCGTACAACCGTTCCTTTAGCGACGGTTCAAAATGACAAAGAGCATTGAAAAAAGGGACGTGTGACCAGCGCTTGCGCCTAGTATTGTCACAGTATCCACACAGTCACACAGATCAAAATTCAGGGGCATGCATTTATGACAGCCGCAGCATCCTAGGGGGTGGGGGTGGGTTAAGGAATGGCCATTTGCAACCTTCCCAGCCAGCTTTTGACAAGTCAAAGTCAACGGGGGTGGGGACTGGATTCACTTATCAACTGCAGGGATTCGTGTAACTATCGTGGCGTGGTGGCGCAGTAGTTAGAATGCAGGTCAGTGCAGGTCCTTCTGAGGCCAATAAAACAAGGACCCAGATTGTTGGGGGCAAATAGGCTGACTCTGTAAACCGCTTAGAGAGGGCTGTAAAGCACTGCGCAGCGGCATATAAGTCCAAGTGCTATTGCTATGGCAAAAATATTGTAAAATCGAGCACGACTCCCTGAACAGTGAAATTCTGGTCCCAATTGTGATCGTTAAGTCAAGGACTACTCATACGTACCTCTCTGCCACGGAGGAGGAGAAAGACTCGACGGGAAACAGAGGGAGAGAATTTCTGTTCTTCCTCCTATCGAAACGTACGGGGGGGGGACAAGTAACAGGAAGGCAACAGACTTACCGCCACGTATTTCTTTTTGCCAAAAAAGCACATGCCGATGTTGTTCCAGAGCAGAGGGCTCTCAGGAACGGTACAAGCCACAGTCCGGTACTTGCTGAGAGCCATGTCAAAGTCCCCATGGGTTTGCATCATACTGCCAGCTGCCAAAATGGCCTTTAAAAGACAAGAAGCCCACGTGAAGACGGCCACGGAAGAAAAGGTTTCGTGCATAGAGAATAAGTAAATACGCTGCAAACTCCATCGTGCCGCTGTTCTACCTCTGACTTTTCTCTATAACTTCTTTTTTTTTCTCTATAGCTATAAACAGAAAGATAGGAGCATCAAGGCAACTTTGTCTGGGCTCAGAAATTGAGTAAGGTTGGCACTATTTGATGCTTAGATAGGGTGCTATCAAGTTGAGATTGGTTGATCAGACGGGGAAGCTAGAAGAGGTTCTGGAAACCAAGAACTGTGCAGATGAGTAGACAATATGTCAAATAAAAATTAAAGTAAAATTAAAAAAAAGTTTCAGAGGGCCCGAATGGAGAGGTCTTGTCTTAAGGTTTCCAGAATGCATCCGAGGGTAAACCTGTGGCCCAAAATGGTGAGAAGATACTACAAACCAGAAATAACGGAATTCTTGCCGTCTGGAAGCGGGGAGACGAGAAAGGGCGGTTCGCAATCTTCCGTTATACTTGTTGTATAAAGGTCTTTATTTACATGCATGCAGGGGCAAGCAACGTTATACAAAATGCAGGGAAGCAATAAGAAACAGGGAGCCAGGGAAATCTAGGCACGAGGTAAGCAAAATAAAAGGAATTCGCTAAATTTAGTTTAGACCAACTCCGTTTACTATGCCTCTCCCTACCAATTATGTTTGCTTTTGCTGGGATGATGCCCTACTTAATACACTGAGGATCTCAATTCAATTCACCCCCAGGTTTCGTGGGAACCACTCACTTTTCCTTTTGTTTATCTGTTTTGAGATTCCAACCACATTCGTTCCTTCTTTCGATCCAACCCCCCCCCCAATATAATTCTTTCATACCATTTATTCCCTTTGGCATTTACCACCCGTTCTTTCTGGACCCAGACTCTCGTTTTGCTGCCTACCCTTAACTATCCCAGTCTTGCTGTATCCAACTCTGATTTCCATGTAACAAAAGGGACGGAAAGCCATTTCCTACACTGGCCTTTTCTGCTGATTTCAAAAAAAACATTCAACACTTGGAACGTGTTTACCATCCTTTGCCCACGTTGGTATTTCTCTGCTTTCCAATTTTTATAATCAGCCTAGCAAGAATAAATTAATTGGCTTGTCATTGACGTATAACTTGCAGTTATTCATTTCCTAACCTCCAACACCATCGCATTTATGCATTTAATCATAAATATATTAAACAAACAAGGGGATACCATATATCTTAATTCTATCTTGCTGAGCAATCTGCATATTTTCATCTCTCTTTTACTTCCACCTTAAACGATTCCTGGCTGCATTCAGCGTCAACTTTATACAAAAAGACTATTTGCACAAGAACCCGTACTAGTGCATCCTGACCCGGGTCGGCCATTCGTTGTTCAGGCCGACGCCAGCAATGTCGCCGTTGGGACAATTTTATTGCAACATAATGATCAAGGTATGTACAACCGTGCGCCTATACCTCCAAGAAGTTCACTGACACGGAACGGCGGTGGGCAGTGTGGGAAAACACTCCTAACTTAAGCCTGTCTTCCTAATTCCCCAACTCACCTTATAGTTGCAGGGATCAAATGTGAGTGCATTTCCAAGGTATTCAAAGGCTTTCTGATAAATCTCAAGCTAAGAAAAGAGAAAGCAGGTAACTTGGCATCTTTATCACTAAGGATTATTCTACTGTCCCTGCGGGTCTAATGGGAAAGAGGGAGAGTCTTCAGTCTACAAATTAGGTGTCATGGTTCTGACAGATGAAACCCTTCAAAGAACTTTGAGGCATTATTTACCTTAAAGAACCTTTATTAGAGAAGCATAGCATCGGCACTAACACAGTCGAAGCCAAAAACTGGATTACCCTCCCCAGAGCCCATAGTCTCAAAGCACAATTCCGGTCCTCCAATTAACAGTCATAAATCACATTCCCCAATTAGCTTGAAATGAAGGCTCTCCCTCCAGTCCTCCAGCCTGGCAATTCTTATCATCTCTTATTTCATTAACCTTGGTTCTCACACCAAGTCCAGTATTATCATGTCTATCTAAACTCTCATGCACAATCCTGCCCTCCAGCATCACCTAACTCAGTGTTTCTCAACCTTGACCATTTTAAGGCATGTGGACTTCAACTCCCAGAATTCCACAGCCAGCAATGCTGGCTGTGGAATTCTGGGAGTTGAAGTCCACATGCCTTAAAATGGTCAAGGTTGAGAAACACTGAGGTCCTAACTCTAAAAATAAAACATAAGAAGAAAATGGTTGCCTCTCTAAGTGTTGTCAAAGCAAAAACATCCAGATGTTAGCAGCGTTGACATAGGTGTGGGGTGGAGGGAGCAAAACAGTGGAGATTTACTTTCAATGCAAAGAAGGGCAAAACATCTACTACCAACTGCAGGTGGTCCCAGACTTACAACAGTTCATTGAATGACTGCTCCAAGTTACAACAGCATTGAAAAAAAGAGACTTATAACTGTTTTTCACACTTACGGCCACTGTAGCATCCCCAAGGTCACGTGATCAAAATTCAGACGTTTGGCAATTGGCACATTATTTATGGAGGCTGCAGCATCCTGGGGTCATGTAAATCCCCTTTTCGCGACAAAGATAATGGGGAAGCTGGATTTGCTGAACAATCTTATAACTAACTTAATGGTAGGGATTCACTTAATAACCTTGCCCAGGAAGGTTGTCAAATGGGGCAAAGCTCACTTAGCAACTGTCTTGCTTAAACAGCAGAAATGTGGGGCTCAACGGTGGTCGTAAGCCGAGGACTACCTGAATAGAGGTACCCGATGATTTAATGACCAACTTTTCCTACCTCGAGGTAAAGCAAGCCCAGAATGGTGAGGAGCTCTGTGTTTTCAGGGGAGAATCTGAAAAAAAACACAGAAATAGAGATTATGGGGTTTTAAAGCATCTGTTGCCATCGTTAAATCCAAGCATTCATTCGTCTGCAGGGGAAGGAAGAAGCTTCGTAACAGGTGGCCCCAAATACCAGGGAGTTGATGTCCACAAGTCTTAAAGTGGCCACGTTTGAGGACCCCTGGTCTACATATACCAGTGGTGGCGAACCTACATGCCAGAGGCGGCACTCAGATCCCTCTCTGTGGGCACGTGTGCCATGCCCCGGAGATGGCAACCGTCCCTCTTCAACCAGCCACCCGAGGTCCCATGTGGCCGGATGCATCCCAGCACAGCTGGTTTCCCTCCCCCCCATCCTGTCCCTCCTGGCCTCGCACGCTCTCCTTTTCCCGGGCACGACCCACTGCATCGCCTTCTCAGCTGTCGGCCGGCCATCCAGCTCAGAGGCGGCTTCTTTGAACTGCTGGGGGCAGGCTGCAGAGCCCCAGAGTGCACCAGTTGAGGGGCTGGTAGGCTGTGGCTGCTGATGGACACCGTCGGCTTCCATGCGCTCACTGGCCTCTGTGTGGGGGGGCCGATGGTGCCAGACAGCAGCCACCCTGGCCCTTGCCTTGCCCCATGTCAATGGCACCCCTGCCCTGTTGTGCCTCACCCCGCAGGACGAGCCTCCTGCCTACCGCCCCACCTGCCAGAAACCCCCTGGATCTCCCCCAACCCTGTCCATCCCCCACAGGCGTCCGTCTGACGAGCGACAATGAGGTGACCACGCCCACCTGGGCCAACCCACCCAATCTGCCATGACCACCACAGCCACTCCCACCCAGTAGGCCACACCCACCTGGCACCCGGCGATAAATAAGTGGGTTTTGGATTGCAGTTTGGGCACTTGGTCTCTAAAAGGTTCGCCATCACTGACATATAATTGAGCTTAGATTTTAAGATGAGCTTGACCCTCTGATGGAACGCCATCTTTCCTGCCTCTCCCTCCACCCCTAAAGAGAAGAAATGAAGAAAATCGCTTACTCCACTGCCTTTTTATAGATTTCAATGGCTGCATCTCTTTCCCCCTCCATCAGATGAATCCTCCCCAGCGTCATGTAGGTCAGGTCATGTCGATTGAGCTGCAAGGCGTTGTTCAGTTGATCTTTGGCCTGAACGCAAGCGAGAGAATAGGCTCGGTCTTGTCACGATCACCCTGAACTGGTCTAAACACTCCTCTTATTCTGGGATGGCTTGAGCTGAAACAGATCTATCCCTCCCCAACAATGTCAAGCAACTGCTGCAGGCGCGGTGGGGGGAATGACACAAAATATATCAAATAAATCTTCTAGTCCAACCCTTTGCTCAGGTTTATCCGTCCTATATGGTGCTACTTCCAAACCTTTAGTGCTTTACACCCCCAGCCCTCCTGTAAAACTAATTAGGGGTGACATGATAGCAGTGTTCCAATATCTGAGGGCCTGCCACAAAGAAGAGGGAGGGGGTCAAGCTATTCTCCAAAGCGCCTGAAGGCAGGACAAGAAGCAATGGATGGAAACTAATCAGGGAGAGAAGCAACTTGGAACTAAGGAGACATTTCCCGACAGTGAGGAACAAATAATTAGTGAAACAACTTGCCTCCAGAAATTGCAAGTGCTTCAACACTGGAGGTTTTTTAAAGAAAAGAAAAAACCCACCCCACTTTGCCTCTTAAGAAGACAGAACTCTTGGAATATTTCTTCCAACAGGCATCTTTATTAAGAGAAGATGGTTGCAGGTGTTCTAGACAGGACCTGGGGCCCAAGTCCTCCTATCCAAGGTTTTAAGTGGTCCCAAGCAGCCCCCACCCCACCCCACCGTCCTTCCAGCGACAATCCCCAGCGTTACATGAAAGGTGATGGGCCCTTTTGTTATGGTTAGTCCTTTTGGTGGTATCCACATTCAGTCCCTTTTGAAGTTGTACCAAAGAAAGTGAGGGCCATAAAACCCCTTTGCTCACCCCCCTTCCCCTTCGTCGTATGACAGAATCCAGAGAGGGCAGAAATGGGGTTTCCCATAGTCGATAACTAGAGATGAAATATAATTGGATTCTGACGCAACCATTTGTCTGAAATGACAGATGGTTTCCTGCTTGAGCAGGGGGTTAGACTAGAAGACCTCCAAGGTCCCTTCTGTTATTAGGTTATTATTCTAATTCATTACACGACAGATGCCAAGAACGGAGCTGCGGGGGGGGGGTGAGCTTTGGGCTGAGGCTAGAGTTGCAATGAGTTTGAGGAAATGTAAAGAGAGTGAAAGATCCCAGGAGGGTTTTATAGGTCACCCTGCCCAAAAGTGCTGATGCCAGCAGAAACTTCAGGATTGAAGTTTGCGTGGAGACCAGGCGGTTTCTTCCTGCTAAAACCCTCCCCATCAAAAGGCATTGATGGGGAGGCCTCGCTTTCTTCTCCCCCAGACCCAGCTGGTGGGATGGAAGGAAAAGGTTGCAGGTTTTGATATTTCTCCCCCAGGCACATTTAAAAAAGGGGAGAGGAGATTGGAGAAAGAAAAAGGCTTATCATTATTATTTTTTTTTAAAAAAAGGATGACTTTATGTAGCACAGCACATTTGTTACTAAAAGGTATAAATAGCACAACACTCTGTAGACTTCATTATATTTTATAGGCTGGTATAAGTTAGCCTAAGAGGGACAGAAGGAACTCCTCAACCTAACAGCAAAATACACTAGCAAGCTTCCCTTTTAAAGGCAAACATCAATCGCCAACGTGCAAAGGAGAGAGAAGAGAAGGAGCACTGTTTTCATGGCTGGAGAGAAGCCGGCCAAGAATTCTCCCTTAATAAAATATTGGCTTGGTCTTAGCAACTAGAACAAAACAAAACAGGTTCTGGTTCAGGGAATGCAACCTTACTGGAAGAGGCAAGGGAGCATCATAACACCTAAATATCTGGATTGGAAAGATACAGGAACCAGTTGGGGACTTAAGAGGGCTAGCTGAAGCTTCAAGATCGCATCAGTCTAACTTGGAGATTCTTTTTCATAAGGCAGCTTGAAGATATTAAGTAATGATATTAAGATATTAAGTCTGGCTTTCTCATCAGGATCAAGAATCAGCTTTGAATCTTGGAGGATTTCTGGAAAGCTGAGACCTTGACCTATATCAGTTGTTCTGGACTTAGCATAGACCTACGTAACTCTAACTAGGGAGCATGTGTTAGTATGTCAGAATATCTGGCAGTTATTGGGTTAAATGCTGGGTATGTTGATGGGTCAGCGGGAGGAGTCAAAAAGGGTCATTGAGAGACTTCCTGGACACAAGCCTTTGTTCATCCAGCCAGGTGTGTTCGCCAACATGTGGCTCTCAACAGAAGAAGAGGGGAAAATTCAATATTAAATTACCTATAGGAATGAACAAATACGGAAAACCAGATGCATCTACAGCAGTGGTTCTCAACCTGTGGGTCGGGACCCCATTTGGGGTCGAACGACCATTTCACGGGGGTCGCCAAACAAGGCTGTATGCCATTTTTCCCCCTTTTCTTTGGCCACGCCCCTGGCACCCGGTGAGGTATAAGTGGTTGGGGGTCACCACAGCATGGGGAACTGTATTATGGGGTCGCGGCATTAGAAAGGTTGAGAACCACTGATCTACAGCATAGTAAGTCTCTGCTTAGAATTCTTGGACAATAAATATTTGTTTTAATTCATTTCTATCGAGTTATCTGACTGTTTAGATTGGAATCAGAGCCACGAGTTCCGTCTGGGCAGAACATCAGTGGTGGTGAACCTATGGCACGCGTGCCGGAGGCGGCACTCGGAGCCCTCTCTGTGGGCACACGTGCCGTTGCCCCAGCCTCACCTCCGCCCATGACCCCCTCCTCACCAGCAGCCCCCCTGGAGGAGAGTCACCCCCGAGCGTGGTCCAACGCTGGGGCGGGGCAGGGCAGGGGGTGGAGCGGAAGTGGGGCCAGTTTTTGGGCACTCGGTCTCTAAAAGGTTCGCCATAACTGACCTATATGGATTGCCTGGCATATAATATAGCTGCACGGCCGGTTTTTACCTTGTTGAAATATTTCAGCTGCATGTAGCAGACGCCCAAGTTATGAAAGATTTCCTAGGTACAAAAAGAAGGGAAGTTTATAAAGCGCTCAAGAAAACGGAAACCATTTCTCATTGCGTATTGCAAAACGCTGATGTCAAGCGCGTGATTGACCACAAAATTCAAGCAAGGACACACCTTGCAAATAATCTGAAAAAAACCCAGGAATGATGCAATTTCAGCTAATGACAAAGATATTAAGATAGCTTTTCCCAACCTGCTGCTTGGCTCTCTTGAAGGCCATCCTAGATGAGAGTGCTGGGGGTTAAAATCCAATGTATCGGAAGGGCAGGAGGTTGGGAAAGGTTACCAAAATATAAATAAAATGAAAAGGGCAACTTAGTAAAACTTTCGCCATTCTTCGACTATCAGCCTACACGGTGCAGTGGCTGGAAGGTTGAACTAGGAACAAAGCACCCCAGATTCTGGTCAGTTCCAATCATAATCTAGACCAGTGTTACTCAACCTCAGATGTGGGGGACTTCAATTCCCAGAATGCCCCAGCCGATCAGGAATTCTGGAAGCTGGTCCACCCATCTTAACAGCGGCTAAGATTGAGGAACACTGATTTGGACAGTTAAATCTGAATGTACTGTATGGATGCAGAAAATAAAATTTTGGTTGAATAGCAATATCATGCAACAAACAGGTGGATCTGTTTAGCGTACAACTATATTATTTCAACCTGCCAACGCATGCAGTGGCAAAATACTGTGTTGTAGCCATGTCCACAAGAAAAAAATTGGCTACAGATTTATAGCCGTCAACTTGGGCCAATTTTTTGGAGATTATCTCTAATAATTTTTGGAATATTACATTTACTCACACACTAATCGGCTATCCACTCACATAAACTAGGGCAGCGGTTCTCAACCTTTTTATACGGCGACCCCCGGTGACACGGACGCGGCGCGCAAGTGCGGCACCGCCCCCATGCGCGGCGCGCATGCGCAACACCACCCCCTGAGGGGGAAAAATGGCGGATCGCGTTGTTTGGCAACCCCCATAAAATGGTCATTCGACCCCAAATGGGGTCACGACCCATAGGTTGAGAACCGCTGAACTAGGGAGTGACCATAACATTTTGAGAACATGTATTTTCTTAACAGGGATGTTATTATTTACTATTAATGTCAATACTATTTTTATTTTTATTTTTTTCTTAATATACCGTATATTCCGGCGTATAAGGCGACCCAGCATATAAGACGACCCCCGATTTCGGCGCCGAGTCACATGCCTAGAAAGTCATCTTATACGCCGGAAACTACCGTTATTTCCGGCATATAAGATGACTCGGCGTATAAGACGACCCCCGACTTCGGCGCCGATTTTAACGCTTGCAAAAGTCGTCTTATATGGCAGAAAGTACGGTATTGTAAAAAGTGGTGTCTATTGCTGGTCTATGACCGTAATAAAGTCATTATTAAAAAATATTGCTGCCGAAACACTATGAATGGCACAACTGGCCAACATTTGAGTCCAGAAATTATCCACCACGACGAAAGAATGCATGCTAAGAGGATATGGGTCTATCCACTGAAGAGAATTATTTCTTCCAGATGGGGAAACACTGGAAGATGGGAGCCTTGTTGTGTGTCTCAATCAGAGACAACCCCGCTTCGCTTCTTCTCTAGTTTGTTCTTCCTCTGCAGATGGCTGGAGATCCCATCACAGACCTTCTAGGGCACGAGTGCCAGAGGCGGCACTCAGAGCCCTCTCTGTGGGCACGCGCGCCATCGCCCCAGTCCTAGGCCTTCAGCTGGGTTTTATAAAACCTTTTCTCTTTAGGCCTCCACCGCCATGTACCCCCCAAAAAAAGGTTCAATCAATCAGTCAATTTCAACTTCTCGCGGGAAAAAAAAAAGATCTTGCAAAGTTGGAATTGATTGATTGAACTTTTTAGTCCCACCCAGTCTGCCGTTACCACCGCAGCCACGCCCACCCACTGGGCCACGCCCACCCAATGGGCCACGCCCACCCGGCACTCAACGATGCATAAGTGGGTTTTGGGTTGCAGTTTGGACACTCGGTCTCTAAAAAGTTCGCCATCACTGCCTTACGTCATAGGGCTCGAACCCAGCCTGAATCCTTACTAAAGGACAGCCTCTCCTTGCTGACGTGTTCATCCCATATTAAGCCAAGCTGTACACTTATACAGGGAGTCCTCCACTTACGACCACGATTGAGCCCAAAATGTATGTTGTGAAGCAAGACCTCTGTTAAATGACTTTTACCCAACTTTACAACATGGTCAGAAGGATGCAAAAGGAGATGGCATGATTCCGGGCCACTGCGACCGTCATAAATATGAAGCAGTTGCCAAGTGCCTGAATTCTGATTGCGTGACCACGGGGACGCTGTAATGGCCGTGTGAAAAATGGCCCTAAGTCACTTTTTTCAGTCTCGCTGTAACTTTGAACGGTCACTAAACGAACTGTCGTAAGCCGAGGACTACCTGTATAGGCAGAAACAGGGTACTGGAGCCGCATTTTGTCTCGCTAGCTACATTACTGTGCACCAGTTTCATCTTAGCTGTTTCTCCCCCCGAGTCGTGCTTTTAAGAAGTGGCTGCTGCTTGTATAAAGAAGGGAAAAAAACAAACAAACGTGTAAATCTGGCCTGTGGTCCTTGACTGATTTGTCCACATCCAATCCTGACAATCCTATTTAGAAACAAGGAGCAGAGCCTCACACGTACCCAGTCCTTCTCGTTGTGTTGAGCCGCATCGTTGTAGACTTCAATAGCTGCTTTGTGCTTGCCCAGAAGGAACCTGCAACACATTTCCCCCCTTTCTTATTTTTTCTCAGCTTGTTTACTGGAGAGGAAAGGGTTTGTCGGTCGTGGGATCAAGGGAGCTTTTAAGGAAAGCACTTGTCTTCTCAGACAGAACAGAGCAGGCAAGAGCTGCCTAAAGGATTATCATCTTTAGAGCCAGAGAGGGATTGTATAAGTAGTCCTTGACTTACAACCGTTCATTTAGTGATTGTTCAGTTACAACGGCACTGAAAAAATATGGACTTAGGACTGTTTTTCACATGGACGGTATCCCCCGTGGTCCATTCAGACACTTGGCAAACTGACTCCTATGGATGACAGCTCCAGTATCCTGGGGTGGGATTCACGGGATTCCTTTTGCGACCTTCTGACAAGCAAAGTCAATGAGGAAGCCAGATTCATTTAACAACCGGGTTACTAACTGCAGGAAATGTCATAAAATGGGGCAAAACTCACCTCACAACTGTCTCACTTAGCAACACAAACTCTGGGCTCAATTGGGGCCATAAGTCAAGGACTACCTGTAAACTCCTCTGAGGTGGGAGAAAAACATATTGCTCAGGATAATATGCCAACAGATATTATTATTATTATTATTATTATTATTATTATGGATCATCGCACAGTCAGCCAGATGTTCAGACTGGATTTGGCATTTTTGTCTACCTATCGAATCCTTACCCAGGACCTGGGATAGGCAGATGTGGATGTTTGATGGTATTACAGATATCGTCGTAGGATGGAAGCAGTTCCTAGTAAGGCCGCCTTTTGCAATTGACTAATAGCGAATTTGTCAATGCCAATGGTGTTCAAGTGGTGCTCCAGTGTTTTGGGATTGCACCTAAGGAGCCTATTACTATTGGTACTACCCTTGCTTGCTTTTGCCACAGTCTTTCTATTTTTATTTGTAGGTCTTTGTATTTTGTTATCTTCTCCAGTTCTTTCTCTTCTATTCTGCTATCTCCAGGCACTGCCACGTCCACTATCCAGACTTTTTTGTCTGTCTTATCGACAATTGTTAAGTCTGGGGGGTTATGTTGCAGGTGCTTGTCTGTTTGAATTCTGAAGACCCAGAGCAGTTTAATTTTATCATTTTCTATGACTTTCTCTATTTTATGATCCCACCAGTTTTTGCTTACAGGCAAATGATATTTTTTGCAGATCTTCCAATGCACCATTGTTGCTACTCTGTCATGCCGCTGCTTGTAATCAGTTTGTGCAATCTTCTTGCAACAGCTTACCAAGTGGTCCACTGTTTCTTCAGCTTCTTTGCATAGGCGGCACTTACTGTCTGTTGCTGTTTATTATTACTACTACTACTACTACTACTACTACTACTACTACTACTACTATTATTATTATTATTATTATTATTATTATTATTATTATTATTATTTTGGAGAAGGGCAATAACAGAATGAATGACTGTCTTCTGGCCCAGCTCGTGCGCTTCCTTGAAGCATCAGGATCATTGCATCCCTGAATCAGTGGATCCCTGAATCATTGCTCTGATCCAGCTATGTTCTGAAGCACGCAGTCAAGTAAAATACATGCCGGGAAGCTGGATTACGCACGTATGGATGCAAATGACATGGACACCACCTTCAGACGTCCATCTCACTCCATGAGACACCTTAGATCAGGGGTCCCCAATCCTGATCTAATAGCCTTGGGCTATTAGCCACTGGGCCACGTGAGTGGGGAGGGCAGTGCACGCGTGTGTGCACAAGCGCGCAGCCCCACTTGCGTGAGCTTCACCACAACTGTGGCAGATGTTTGCAGATCCACTCGTGCGAGTGCTCATGGCCCCATGCACACAAGCAATGGGTGTTTGTGCGTATGCGTGAGCATGGGCGTGTGTTTACCCCTCCCACAAAACCCTCCCTTCTTCCTTCCCCTCCTCCTGCTCCAGGCCACCAACCCCAAAATGTTGGGAAACTCTTGTCTTAGATAGGAAGAATAAAATGATACTTACAGGGAACGGGCCACCTGCTTGAGGTTGTCTGCACATCGAGGCCTGAGAATAGCACAAGTCTGGAAAAGCTCCAGAGATTCGTGAATTTTTCCTTCCAAGCGAAAGATCAAAGCTAGAAGTAACATTGCCATAACAGCGGATTAATCAGGAGGATTCCATGTTCCTATTTTAAGATGAATATTTTAATTTCTCCTAATGCTTTACGGAACGGTTCTGCCTTAAAGGACAGCCTAAAAATGTTTCAGATATGTACATGAGTGAGCAAGGAGATTAGTTGTCCTGCTCTTGGTTAGACTTCTATTCAAAATTGGCCTTCCCAGAACTATTTTTCATTTTAAAAACACACTGGAGTTGCAGCAAATAACCTGATGAGTGACATATAGATTGCCCCTCGGCTGCATGGAGACGTGATCCAGATTCTCTAAGTCACTCCAGGTAAATTAATTTTTTGAGTTTTGAATTTCATGTCTACCCTTCGCCAAACAACCAGCAATGGTGCAAATATCCTGCTCCCAAGTTGTTCTATAAAACAGGATGTGCTGGATTAGTCAAGCACTGTAAGCTTTGACGATCCCCACAGAGGTGGCTGTGTGTTCTTACAAAACACATAAATGCAGCTGGAAGTCTGTTTAATCACAGAGTCATTTTCGCTTACCTTGAACATAAACGGCGTATTCACACATTCCTTGGGTTTCCTGCAGTTGCTCTTTGATAGCAATCTGAACCGCAAAGGAAGAGAGATTAAGTAATGGGCATTTTTAAATTGGAGAAGAGGCAGAAATGTCATCAGCTCTCCAACTGACTGGTCCTTTTACAACAGCAACTTAACGCTGAGTTAGGAAAGTTCGGTCTTTGGGGAAGGTTGGCACCAAAACTTAAAATGGGTGTCCTAAGAATAAGAGATGGTGCTAGGCAGGGCACAGGATGTGCATGTTTTTATTATCATTGTGTTTTCTATTAGAACAATGTTGCCTTACATTTTTGATCAAACCAAAGACCATCTGGAACTTTGAGCTTGTTAAATCAGAGCAGACAGACCCAGCTGTGCCTGAGGATGTGAGATGAATGGTAACAAGTGATTCAACAGGATAGGGTAGAATAGGGCAGGGCAGAGCAGAGCAGAGCAGAACAGAACAGAACAAAACAGAACAGAATTCTTTATAAGTGTGATCGGACACACAAGGAAATTGTCTCTGGTGCATTAAGCTCACAGTATACATATAAAAAGCAAATCATAGGTCGTAGGTCATAAATCATAATTACAATCATTAATCATAAGTTACAAACAACCATTGATAAATCATAAGAAACCAATGGGAGAAGATAGTAGGCAAGACGAGAAGATGAGAAAAGACGAGAAATGAGACTGAGCCGTGGGAATTAAGTGTTCAGCAGAGTGGTGTCTAATTGTTTTGGCATGCGAGTGTTGTAAGTAAAAACAGCCCTTCATCAGGAAAAAGGCCGCCTGAGCGAACACAACTTATGTGTCACATATTTCTTCTCCTCTTCCCTGACAGGTTTCACACTGCCACAAAACACTTGGCAACTTGATGCCGATATCGCTGACAAACTGCCGGCCAGGGAAGACTTATTTTTTTTCCACTGTACAGCATGATCCGCAATTTATAGAGTTATCCCAAAGACGGCCCCAATCAACTTCGGAACATACACTGGGTGGCAATCCTGGTTGGCGCTAACCACAACTGGTCACACTAATTAGGATTCTTGGATGGGGGGGAGGGGAAAAATGGGTTCTGCAGGAGGGAAGCCAAACCGTGGTTTGGAGAGTCACGGAAAACGGAACTGAACGCCACGCTGGGAACAAAGACCTGGTTTTTTCCTCTTCTCTTGTTGACACGGTTGTTCAAGGCCTGATCTGTTCGCCTGCGGCTGGTGCTGCACTCAGTCTTACGAGTGCCCAGACAAATTTCTGCAGCCTTGTTGGCAACATTTTTGCAAGGGATATTTTTGGCCCTTTCTTTCTTTCTAGGGCTGAGGAAGAGTGACTGGCTCAAAGTCTCCCGCCCGTGCCTAAGGCAGGGCTGGCCCAGGGGATTTAATGACTTTGCCAACCTCGTTCCTACCTTACATGCATCGTAATCTTTGTGGACGTAGTACAAGTGGATCAGCCAGTTCCTCTTCTCCAGAATGGGAAGGTCGGGCCCTGCAAAATAGGAGGGCAGAACAAATATTTAGAGCAGTGCTTCTCAACCCTGACACAACTTGATTGGAACTCTCAGAATTCCCCAGTCAGAGATCTTAAACCTGGCAAGGTGGAGATTTAAATACGCCACTGACTCAAGCCTCCCACCAGGGCCACATAAAGCAAAAATCTGCTTTTCTTGCCAAAAACAGAGCAGGAGGCACCAGCAGGAGACAGAGGCCATGCTGTGCAGTGGGGGAGATTTTTGAAAGACCACTGCAGGAGAAGCTGAAGAGGTCACGGAATCTTGGTAGCCGCTATTCCTGCCAAATGAACTTGCGTTCCCATCTCCTTTTGGAGTTCTTCAAAGCCGTTCGTACCTCACCGAAAACAACCTCACGTCAAAAACAAAGGTAATACAGGCAAGTCCTCGGCCCACAACAAGTTTGTTTAGTGACCGTTCAGAGTGACAGTGGCACTGAAAAAAAGGAACTCGTGACCGTTTTTCACACTTACGACCGTTGCAGCCTCCCCAGGGTCACTTGGTCGGCATTTGGGGACTGGGCAACTGACTCGTATTTATGACGGCTGCCGCATCCCGGGATCATGGGATCCCGTCTTGCGACCTTCTGACAAGCAAAGTCAATAGGGGAAGCTGGATTCGCTTAGTGACCGTGTCACTAACTTAACTGTGATGGTTCACTTAACGACCGTGGCAAGAAAGGTTGTAAAATGGGGCACGACTCACTGAACAAATGTCTTGCTTAGCAACATAAATTTGGTGCTCAATGGTGTTGGTAAGGAGGACCACCTGTAGTCAAAGAAATGATCTCTTTTATCCAACCAACCAACAAACAGACTAGACTAGACTAGACTAGAAGAGAATAGAAGACTAAGAAGAATAAACTAGAATAGTAGAATAGAATAGATAGAATAGAATAAACTAGAATAGAATAGAATAGAATAGAAGACTAAGAAGAATAAACTAGACTAGACTAGAAGACTAAGAAAAATAAACTAGAATAGTAGAATAGAATAGAATAGAAGACTAAGAAGAATAAACTAGACTAGACTAGAAGACCAAGAAGAAACTAGAATAGAATAGAATAGAATAGAATAGAAGACTAAGAAGAATAAACTAGACTAGACTAGACTAGACTAGAGCTGGAAGGGACCTTGGAGGTCTTCTAGTCCAGCCCCTGCTTAAGCAGGAGAATCTATACCAGTGGTTCTCAACCTTTTTAATGCCACGACCCCCAACCGGTCGTAAGTTGAGGACTACTCAACTAGTGCAGCACCGTTTGCAGAATGGGGCTTTTGGCGGGCTCAGCAGGGCAGAGACAGCCTGGACAATTCCTATTGGCTTTTGAAAGCCAATAGAATTAGACTCTATTCAAGAGAGGGAGTAGCACAGCTAAGGAAAAGGGGGGAAAAAATGGCAGACTGCGTTGTTTGGCAACCCCTGTGAAATGGTCGTGCGACCCCAAATGGGGTCCCGACCCACAGGTTGAGTACCACTGATCTATACCATCTCAGACAAGTAACTGTCTAGTCTCATCAACATTTCAGGTCAATGGCAGAAAAGAGGTTCCATAAACTGAACACTGTCACACTAAAAAAAAAAAAAATCCCTTTAAATGGGCCACTCCCACTGAGTTCTTGGACGAGCTGAATCTGTAGGAATACATGATCCTTTATGCCAAGGTCTAAGGCTGGGGGGGGGGTGTTTCCCATCTGCCAACCCCCCACTGCCCTTCCAAAACCAGCTGGGGCATGCCTATTTTCCTGGAAGAAATGGGGAAATGACATTACACCCTTGGGCTGCCATTGTGTGATTTTTGCCATTTACAAAATCCTTGCAGACTGATTTCTTCTTATTTTAATGACACACAGGCTAACCCGAATTTAGTTCTTATTCTGGTCCTGCTGCTTCACACTTTTTTTTTTTTTAAAGATTACAGCCGCTGGCTTGGAAAAAGTTGTTCAAAAAACCCCCACAAAGCCTTTTAGAGATAATCGCTCATACTTTAAAGTGGGCCCCGAACCGGAGTAAATTTCACTCCTTTTTTCTGAATTCTGTGGAGCATCAGGCTGGTTATTGCTAGAAGGGCGGTGAGGCTGAGATAGCATGTCAAATCTTTTCCTCTTACTGCGGGGGTGTTTGGGGGGGGGGGGCAGAAGAGATCAATGTTAAGCTCTCTAGCAGCTCTGGCTCACAATACGATCAATAGGAGGGAGCCCCCAGCTACTAATCCCGATCCAGTATGGCTGTTCTCAACCACCTCGGTTGTTGGCTTGGAGGTTTTTAAGATGCCGCCATTCGCATCCCACCAACATGGCTTGAAGTGCGCCAAACCCATCCTTGCAGCTGAGATGGGGGAAAGCCAAGGTAACCATAGCAACTAATAGGGAGGAAAAAAAATGTAAGTGGATATGATGATAAAGGAGCTCAGCAGAAAACTGGGGGGGGGAAGCTGCTGAGACAGCAAATGCAGAGGTGACGGAGAGGAACGTCTAGGGCAGGCAGTTCACAATGCAAAAAGCTTTGCAGAGAAGGGGGGGGGGTCCGAGCTATTCTCCAAAGCCCAGGGAGGGCAGGACGAGAAGTAACGAGTGGAAAATTATCCAGGAGAGATTAAAAACTAGAGCTAAGGAGAAATTTCTCCTGTCATTGTGGGTTGGACAGCCATCGGTCAGGAATGGGATAGAGTCTTCTGCTTGAGCAGGGGGTTGGACTAGAAGACCTCCAAAGAAGAGGGAGCCAAGCTATTCCCCAAAGCACGGATGGAAACTAATCAAGGAGAGAAGCAACCTAGAACTGAGGACAAACTTCCTGACAGATAGAACAATTAATCAGTGGAACTCCTTGCCTCCAGAAGTGGTGAATGCTCCAACACTGGAAGTTTTTAAGAAGAGACTGGACAGCCATTTGTCTGAAATGGTGTAGGGTTTCCTGCCTGAGCAGGGGGTTGGACTAGAGGACCTCCAAGGTCCCTTCCAACTTTACTACTACTACTACTACTACTACTACTACTACTACTACTACTACTATTATTATTATTATTATTATTTCTCTTCCAACTTTGCTATTCTGTATTCTGAATTGAGGACAGGTTGTCCTCGACTTTCAACAGTTCGTTTAGGGACCGCCCCAAGTGACAAGGGCATTGGAAAACTGGACTCGTGACCGAGTCCCTTGCACTGGCGACCTTTGCAGCACCCCAAGATCAGATGATCAGAATCCAGATGGCTTGGCAACTGGTTCCTGTGTAGGACGGTTGCAGTGTCTCCGGGGGCCACGGGTTCCCCCCTTTGGCGATCTTCTGACGAGCAAAGGTCAATGGGGAAGCCAGATTCACTTCACAAACCGGGTCAGTAACTTATCAACGGCAGTGATTCAGTTTTTAATGACCGTGCCATGAACGGTCGTAAAGTGGGGCAAACTCACTTAACAAACGTCTCGCTTTTGGGGGGCGCGCGGCTCAACTGTGGCTGTGAGTGGAGGGCTACCTGTCATTCTTAATTCACATCGAGAAAGGCCTCCTTCCAAATGGCACCGACTCAGATGGGGCTTCAGGCTGCCTTAGCTAGGTCTCCCATTCGCCTTTCCTGGTTTGTTTTTAAATAAAATAAAATAAAATAAAAACCGGGGTGGCTGGGTAGGTGGGAGAATAAACCATCTGAAATAGGTTGCTTGAGTGCTACGGTGAATGCTAATCGCTGCAAGTAGACCTCTAGAGCGTTTGCAATATGTTGGACTCGCATACGCAATCCGACCAATTTATTTTCAAGGTGGCAGGAAGGACAACCCCCCCTTCTGTACGTGTGTGTGTGTGTGTGTGTGTGTGTGTGTGTGTGTGTATTCTGAGGTTTTCGCGGGTGTTTGTATGTAGGTCTTTGGTTATTCGGCTTTTCTCCCGCGTCAAATTGGAAGTGTCTTGGCGACGTTTCGACGAAGTCTCATTCGTCATCTTCAGGCTTTCGGCTTCGTGCTTCTAGGACGAATTGACCTTTGCTTGTCAGAAGATCGCCAAAGGGGGGAACCCGTGGCCCCCGGGGAGACTGCAACCGTCCTACACAGGAACCAGTTGCCAAGCCATCTGGATTCTGATCACCTGATCCTGGGGGATGCTGCAAAGGTCGCCAGTGCGAAAAACGGTCACGAGTCCCATTTTCCAATGCCCTTGTCACTTGGGGCGGTCCCTAAACGAACTGTGCTACTCCCCTTTATTCTATTGGCTTTTGAAAGCCAATAGAATAGATTCTCTTGAATAGAGTCTAATTCTATCGGCTTTCAAAAGCCAATAGGAATTGTCCAGGCTGTCTCTGCCCTGCTGAGCCCACCAAAAGTCCCATTCTGCAAACGGTGCTGCACCAGTTGAGTAGTCCTCGACTTACGACCGGTTGAGTAGTCCTCGACTTATGACCAGTTGGGGGTTCACAGCATTAAAAAGGTTGAGAACCACTGTTCTAGGCAAATATGCCTGAACAGTCAGTATCTCTCAGAGCAGGGGATCTAGCAATATTCCTCCAACTGTTCTAACTCTGCTTCAGGTTGGCTCCAGCTGAATTTACAAGGCCTTAACACCATCAAACTCTTCCTGTGAAACACATTTGTAAAAATATCCTTCGCTGCATCTTTCTTCCTCAGCCCCATTTCTATCCTGCAGACGGTCCAGCAAATGAATCAATAAATCTCTTTAAAGCACAAAATCTTGGCAACCCCAGCCTCCGCAGCTCCAAATATGGAATGTTTGCTTTCCTGGTTTCAGACAAAGCCAACTGTTGCTGTTTCTTTCCTTTTAGCTTTGCTTTGTTGCGCTAAAAATGTGAGGAAATAAAAAACATGAACGTTTCCATTTTGTGCCCGCATTTGAAAATTTTCTAGGTTAGGGGAGACTTATGCTTCACCTTTCAAAGCCAAGTAAACTGCATGAACAAGGAGAGAGATGACAGCAACAGAGATGCAAGGGAAGGATCCTGGCACACATTCAACCACCTGACATTTATGGGAATTGGTC